TTCATTTTTTCCTTGTTCTGTTTCAAACATTAATTTACCATATATATCACAATGGAGAGGGTCTATGGTATCACTTGATTCACATTCAATGACAAAATATAACAAACCATCATGTCTGTAATTAATTCCAGATAAATTGAATAACAATTGTATTGGCTTGTACCAAAATGTAAGTTGTGGGAAACTGATTATTATTACCAATCACAGAAATAAATAAATATAATTTTCATCACACTTATAAATGACATGATGTAAATAGATTTGTGAAACAAATGCAAGTTTGTTTTTTATAGCATTTACATGTACAAGACTTGCAAAGAAAAAAAATCGCTGCTGTAATTTTTAACACTTCAAAATATAACACTCAGTATGAACATGGAGCTCCATAGTATACATCTTATTTTTGTTCTAATGAAACCAGGCTGAAACAGTACATATATTATAAAAAAAAAACTAGGTTTCCCTAGGTCTGTCTTCTTTGTTCTCTGTTGTTTGTTTTCAGTGGGGGCGTTCAAACCTACTACTAATTTGCATATTGTAGGTCTAGTAGGTCTGAATAGGGCAGGAAAGGGCAGGCCGGGTTAACCCAGGTTTGACCCAGGTGTTTGAATATGAGATCACCCCTTAATCATTCCATATTTGGAATTTGTATATCCAAATATGGTAGGATGCAAATAGCCATACTGCAAAATTAACTTATGCCGTTACGGTGACAGATGTACTAGTATAATAATATTTATAATTACACACATGCTTGTTCTAAAACTGCAGATTTGATATTTTATCATCGCCTACGTAAGTCTATTGATTGTCACCCCGCAGATGAACTATGTTTAATTTCAGCTCAGCGCCCAAGAGAAAAACGCTGCCTAAACTTGTGTACAACCTCATGTCTGATAAGGATCTCAAGAAGAAATTGAAAGAGTACAATCTCTCTGTGCAAGGAAGCAGACAGGTAATAACAAATGACACAGCACAAGCAACATACAAACCCGACTGCCACCCATGCCACTCTTCGACTGCCATTGTGCCACTTCACCGTAATTGTGCTACTCCACTGACTGCCATGTGTCAATATCTCCACTGACTGCCATGTGTCAATATCTCCACTGACTGCCATGTGTCAATATCTCTACTGACTGCCATGTGTCAATATCTCCACTGACTGCCATGTGTCAATATCTCCACTGACTGCCATGTGTCAATATCTCCACTGACTGCCATGTGTCAATATCTCCACTGACTGCCATGTGTCAATATCTCCACTGACTGCCATGTGTCAATATCTCCACTGACTGCCATGTGTCAATATCTCCACTGACTGCCATGTGTCAATATCTCCACTGACTGCCATGTGTCAATATCTCCACTAGGTTCTTATCAAGAGGATCCAAGAATTCACTTTACTTTACAATTCACAATGTGACTCAGAAAATCCTAAATCAGGTGAGTCTAAATGCATGTGTGTGTTTCTGTGGGGGCAGGGGGTCTACTCGAGAATAAAAATATTTACCACACAACTCAAAGGTTGATATGTCTACTGTCAAAAAAAAAATGTGATGTGATAATGGAAGAATACCTAATAATGGAACCACCTTTAATCAGAGGAGATGTGTAAATGTAGGTGTTTATATCTAATGATACATTGTTTTTTTATTGTGTGTAGCTGCCGCTATTGCCAAGGATGTTGAGAAGAATGAGAAGATGAAAACACAGTTAGCGCACAAAGAATCAATCAAACAAGCGGTATGTATCATGTACAATTACTGTATGTACTCTATAAGGTGAACATTCTGAACTCTATTTGGTGAACATGAGCTGGTCAATTAAAAGTCGCATCAACACAGAGTCAAGTAAATAGGGATGCTTTGGTGTACACAAAATCCCACCAAATATTTGTGGCTTTTGTGTGCCCTCCTTGATAGAGTTGCACTTCTAATATAGCATATATGGTGTGTCAACCATTGCCTCACGTTGCTTTATGTGTAAAATGAAGACAAGTTATGGATTTTATCAAACATGTGTTTTAATGTAAGCAATATTTGATAGTAACGATTTATAGAATGAAGGTATGCATATGTTGTGATATGTGATTAATAAAAAATAAAAAATTGTGAAATCACTAAATCACAAATAAATCAAATGGACATTTCAAAAAAAACTAATGCAAATGAGTCAGTCTGTGATAAATCTGGTCGTGTGTGTCTCAACCTGTTCTGTTTTCGAGTACAATTACTTGATCATTTCCAATAGTTTACTGTGTTCTGTGATGCCATTAGTCGAAATATGCTTGATGAAAGGATCTTCATAATATATCACTGTACTTGGATATATACGTGTATCCGTATGAGTTCATGATCGTATGTGTCGTCTATCAGAATTAACAAAACTAAACTTATTCAAACATTTTTTTTTTTAATTTTAATTTAAAGAAGCTGGTATTTGACAAAGGTGAATCTGAGGAAGAACAGGAAAAGAAAAAAGAAAAGTATAGTAAGTTAATCCGATGCTTAATCAGAATTTTAATGATATGAGTTGAGACTCGTCAAGTATTTAATCAGTTGCAGTCTTGGTCCTGGAAATATCTTTTTGGCCTTTACACCATAACCTAATTTTTGAGATACTGTATGTGTATTACGGAGTTATTACATGCGATTGTATATGGAAGAAATAAAACATGATCTGTTCAGTTAGAATAAATTTTGGCAATTTGTTTAAACTCAAGGTAATGAAACAATGTGTCTTTAACTACATTTTGAAAAAGTATAAAATGGGGGTATATACCGATTTGCCCTATGCTAACACATGGGCAATAGTTAAATTATAACACGTGTTTGTGAGGGCAATATCACGATTTGTTGCCTGCCCAAGGATGATAGTTATGACCATAATATTGATGATGCAAGGGCATCATTAATATTATGGTTATGACCATAGTTTCAGTGACGTCGTCCATGTGATATACCGTGTAAATATCCACTCTGCGGGCAATATACCATGTAATATCCATTTTTATTCAATGTAATGTGACCGAGTCTCAACCAATCACAGCATATACATACATAAGAAATTTGCGATAAATAAGTACTGTAAAATCTGTATTAGAAACTGCGGCTTCTATTAAAATGGTACAATGCAACAGAGGGGGTGCGGCTTCTATTAGAGCATCTACACATATGAGAAATGATGAATTTTTGGTTCTCAATTATTCAAAAAGAATGGGTGCGGCTTCTATTAGGGATGCGGCTTCTAATACAGATTTTATGGGGGGTATACATAAATATAGTGGTTTTTCATATTGTATTAATGAGAGTTCATAAAAGCTTTGAATTCAAAGGTCAATTTAGTCACAAAATTAAACCTGGTTATATATTGTTTCTATATGTTTGCAAAACTTTTGGTCAGAACCTGTCGGTAATGTAAAATTATGTCAATTTTAACCAAAATTAAGAGTGAATTATTGAAAAATACATAAAAAAGTTGTGGTTTCTAAAGATTATAATTATAATTGATGTTCCATTAATTTTCAGTGAAAACTCACAAATCACAGTACGATCAGCTGATTAATGAAGTGAAAAAAAGGATGGGAACCCGAAGAACAAAAAAGGCAAATCAAGCGGAAATGGAAGATTCAGGCGATAAAAATATGGAATCTGCAACAACCTCACAGTCAGATGCAGTTCCATCCACATCGTCAACCTCCATGGAAACTGAAATAAGCAATAGCGGTGACACTCCAGTTGCTATGGATACGCAATCCTCTGAATCATCGCTTGCTACAAACAGAATTAACGAGTCAGAATTTGACATAGCAGAAAAATGTGTGTCAAGTAAAGATGAACTGAAATTTATTGATTCAATTTCAGCTGAAAATGTGAACAGCGATTCAGACTTTGCTGTAGATGCTACAGCCAGTGATGGGAATTCTACTAGAAAAAAATCCAAAAGGCCAGTCGGTAGACCAAAGAAACATCAGAAATCACACTCTGCCGTGCATCAGAAAGAAAAACAAAAACTTTGTAAGTCTGGCATTTATCTTATATATATTATTGAATGTATGCGTTTGTCTAACTAGCGGCCTTTATGTTTTAACGAATGAGCCATATTTTGGTCATGCCTGGACTGATCAAATTTAAACTTCACATCATACATCTTGAGATACATTTCTGCCATTTGAGTGCCAAAAAATGAATTTCTGTAATTTTGAATCAGAACTCAGTCATTCAGAAATTCTTGGTACATGGACATATGTTAGACTTTATGTGCTCTTGATACAGGTCACTTTGTTTTTCAGATAAAATATCCATTTCAGTACTAGATTTCTATTATGAATATAAATTTCCGCCATTCCAAAATGTACGTACCAAACCTAAATGGTACATACATTTAACATAATCATGGCATTTGGTGGTTTTTCAGATCAGATATCAAAATTGTCGACTGGTGGCCATTTTGTTTTACATATGCTGTTTCAGAGACATATCTACCTTGTTTAAAAAAAGTGACAGTGACTTTCACAAACTTTTCTCTTCAATAATATCATAAAGTCGTCTAACTGCAAACATTCCCAGCAGTGAAAATTGAACAGTTTACAGTTTATTGAGAGTGAAAACTGTTGTGCAGTGTCTGTTCAGTTACAAAATCTATTTTCTAGCTGAACCAGAGGTTGCACCAGAAGAGAAGCAGTGCATTGTGGATGAACAAAGTGATGAGGAGCAGCTTTCACCAAGCATATTCAGTAAGTATGGTGATGGAGTGTCAGTGAGTGGTTTTTGGTCGCTGTCACATTGTGTTTTAAAGTTGGTAAGTTGTTGCCTTCGCATGTGACAGACAGCCATAACATATCCTTTTTAACAAACAAACATCTACCCATGAGCCTTTAAGTTTTTAGCATCCATTGTTATCGTCGCCCTAGGATATATTGCAGTGAAAACAATAGAATTCACCCGTCTGAAAAAATGCTATGAGAACATTTTCGAA